ACCGATACCATTTTTTTATCGGCAAGTAAGAGTACCAATACTTTCGGTCAAGTACTTGCAATACTGAGTACCGATACTTTGCGGTGTGATTTGCGTTATTGGATGCAATTTGCACCGCAAAGAATAGTATGTGACTTAAACAGGAATGTGATTTCTGTCCAAATCTCATGCGGTTTCCCCACCGCTTCTGTGTTAACTCAGGCTTCTCATAGCCCAAGTTCACACAGAGGCGGTGCGGGAAACCTCCCTGCAGGTAGCCCATGCTGAGTGAAAGTGATAGGAGAGGAGAGGAGAGAAAGCAGCGGGGAGTTGAAAAGCCTGGGTTCACACAGGAGTAGTGGGGAAACCGCATGAGATTTGGACAGAAGTCACATTCCTGTTCAAGTCACATGCTAATCTTTGCAGTGCAGTTTGTGATCATTAATGCAAATCACACCGCCAAGTATTGGTTAAGGTATTGGGAGTATTTTCACGAGTACTCACAAAAATACTCAGTATTGGCATACCAATACCGGTACTGGTGCATCCCCAATAAATATCCCAGAAGTCAATGAGGCAGGCTGATGATGTAGTCTGCAAGGCGACCAAGGCCAGACGTCCAGGGGAAACATATTAAAAAAATTTACTTTCTGACAATATTGCGAAGCATTACTATCCAAAGTTAGCAGCACTATCGGTGGGCATTACAATAAGTCTAAGTTAAAAATCTGTGAAACTCCGCTTTAAGCATGCCTGAAAAGCTACCATTATTATGTTTAGAAATTGCATGCAGGTGAACCTGTAGAGTTGCTGTTGTGTTAAAGAAAAATATTGGTCACACCAAAATTTATTTAATTTTTTTCCCTCTTTCTAGTACTTTTAAGCAGTTTATTAATACAAATACAGTATATTCATGGTATTCTTTTAAAAGCATCAGTCTATACAATATTTTTTCATAAGTTTCCAAAACTTTGCTCAGTCCTGTAAAAGTGTGAAAGATTGTGCTACTGAAAAATCTCTCCATTCAATTGCAAACTCCTTCAGCTACAGAATGCATTTCGTTAGTGCCCTTGGAGATAAGAAACAGTTCAATTATCAAGAGCAAAACTGTGAATCCCATGTTTTCTGGTTCATTCATTGGCACATTAACGCACAATTTCTGCCCAGCCTAGGGAGTATCAAGTTTTCTTCCCTTGAAGATATGATGTTCTCCTATTATTGTACAAAAAGGCTGCAAATGAGATAAAAATAAAGTTTCCCTTGTTTAAAGTTTTGAAAGTAAAGACAATTGCATTTCTAAGTTCAGGTTTTTATTTCTGCCCGTGACTTCACTAGGAAGACCTTTCCTTACTTCTTTTTCCTGTGACATCAGGGCAAGATTAGGGAGAACAGCTGTCTCCGGGACAGGAAGCAACGAACAGCATTAAAGAATGTTGCAGATGTTCTAGTTTTTCCCCCTTTCTGCTACTTATGTGTTTTTTTCTTTGTGTCCCTGTTGAAGAGATTTCCCAGCAGTTCCTGTCCTAAAAGGAAGTATGGGAAAATCTTACCAATAGGGACATATTAATAAAATGCAAAGTTTCTTTGCAGAAATAAGCTGTACCTCTTAGCTAACAAATGGCTCATAGAATGTAATCGTAAAGGCTGGGCCTCCTGCACCCAATCAAATCCATAAACAAGTAAAGAATGCTGGAGCCCAACCATCAACTTCAGATCCTTTATTGAGTAATACTTCACATTAGAGGCAAACTGACCATTCAGGCACTTGGGTAATGCCCTAGGGCCCAGGGCCAGTAGGGGACTCCATAAGAGGCTCCAGGTACCTAATACAGCAGGGTGAATTTGGCAGTCTGGGGTGATAGGTGCAGCGAGGGGGGGAGCAATTAAAAGTACCGATCTCCCTGTATGGCTTTCCATGAAGCAGCTGAAAGCCAATTCTCCTGCTCTCCCTCCCACGGCTTTAAGCTGCTTCACGGAAAGCCATACAGGGAGATTGGTGCTTGTAATTACACCTCCCCACTCACATTTACATATCTGTAAATCCTAGGGATGTTTTCCATCTGATCGCGATCCTTCAGGTGATCACATTGTGGCAGAGAGGTGTTTCACAGGAAGCAGCCGTCTGCCACAGGAACACGTGTGGAGTGCAAAATGGTGACAGGCCGGAAGTGATGTCAGCGGGAGAGTGTGAGTGTGATGATGTAGGAGTGAGCGGTAACGAGTTTCAAAGATTCCACTTTTTCGTCAGACCTAATTGGTTAATGGGAGTGATCGTCTTTTGTAAGGCTCCGAAGAGGGTGGAATCCACATGGATGGGACTCTAAGTTCTGAAGCAAGTTAAGGGAGAACTCCAACCACAGATTGCTTGTGCAGTACTGGACACAATGTAAATACAAGTTGTAGCCGAAAAAAATCTAACCTAAATTGCTCAAATAATGGTATTAATTTCAATTTCTTCGTTAAGGCCCTTAGGGGCTAAAGTATCCAGTGTAAAAATCCAGTATGTTTCCTGGCTACAAAATCATTGGAAATGTTCAGCTGGTGAGAAGGTGTCCAGTATGCACTCAGTGACCCACACGTGAAGATCCTGAGATGATTGATTGTGGTACTCTGAAAAATGGCATTGTACGCTGTGATTGGTGAGGCCATCTTCAACAAACATTACGATGCTCTCCAAACCTCTTGCGTAGAGTTCTGATGGTACATTCCACGTTGGTTTCTGTGGCAGACGGCAGCTTCCTGGAACTCCAGCAACACCGCTCGGCCACATTGTGATCACCTGAAGGACCGAGATCAGATGGGAGACATCCCTTGGATTTATGGATATGCCTATGACTTCTATTATTCAGTGAGTTGCCAATTGTACGTGTCTAATAAATTGTGAGCGTTTTACTGCTGCACTTAGTCAAGTGCCCTTCTGTGCTTCTCTTTCCACATATCTAAAGCGTTTCAGCTCACTCTTCTAGGGTGCTGCCATGGACGATGCATTTATTCATTTGACTACTTGGACTTTTATATGGACTATGAACTATAATAGTCATAAGTTTTCTAGCGCCATTTCCATTCTCCCTCCCAAATGCACACTGTCTGAGTTTGGGGTTGTACATGTACATCCACATGCCTGTCAAATTAGGATCTACCATTGTTGCACTTTCTTTAATGTAAGTTTATTCTTGTTTATTTATTTAGCTTAACATTTATTTTGATCATAGTGTAGAGAAATTCAATGAGGAACACGAGAAGTGTGGGCAGTATGTAGGTGGGGCTTTGTGTGGGTGTTGGTTGAGTGTGGGCAGGGATACAAGGGGCACATGATCTCCTATTGCCCGGGAGCCCCATGAGTTGTCAGTCCACCCCCTGCTTCACATCATTAGACAGTGTTTTATCACTATAAACAGATCAAACTGTGCAAATTCCCAATGCCTCTAATATACAAAGTTGCAAATATTAAATAAAAAAAGACTGCTTCCATGATGGCCGACAGCGCAATGACATCAGAGGGAGGCTCTGCCCAATGCGTTTCATCATCAAAAAACGTCTTCCAGGATGTCTTCTAGCCCCTAGAAGACATCGTTTGATGACAAAACGCATTGGGCGGAGCCTCCCTCTGACATCATCGTGCTGTCTGCCATCTTGGAAGCGTTTTTTTTTTAATGCTTGTCAGTACCTTACAGCTTGTAAGTAGGATTTTATTTGCTCAAATAAACGATAGTCAAACTTATTGCACTATGAGAGGCATGTTTTTTCTTTCATGATATTATTTGGCATTGTATTGGAGTTCACATATTGGTTTGTGAGACTTGGGAGACCCTTGATCTGGTCATGGCATGGAGAATTGGATGACACCCTATATCGCAATGCTGGTTGAGGCCCCCTATAATTAGGGGTCTCTGTTTCTGTTAAGCCTCCATTATTCACTTGGTGGTGGTGCACACATTGGTGAATAATCGGAAAATAGGATTCACAACATCAATATTATATTTACAGTATTGGAACAAGGCTTTCACCATTGGTTGTGGAGCTTTATATCCACACGAAGTTTACTGTGTTTTTGTATGGACTACATGTCACTATATATTTGTTTTTTTTATTGATTTGATCACTTTTTATGGGTATATGTGACCTCATAGCGAATAGGTATTGACTAGTGAAGTTTGTTAAAAAGCTATACAGAGTGCAATATTTTATAACAAGCGTTTTATTGCTGTTCAATGCTGTGATTTACTGTACTAATCAATAAAAGATCTTAAAGTTCTAGTTGATTTAAAAAGATTTAAAAGTCAGCAGCTACAAAAACTGTATCTCCTGACTTTTAAAATACAAATACCTGTTCTTCGGTCCAGTGGTGTCCTCACCATGGCTGGTTTTCACCAGCCGTCTTCTCTCCCTGGCGCTGGCATCTTCAGTGTGGGCACCGGCTGTGGCAGCTTGCAGCTTCACAGCCGGGTGCCCACTGCACATGCACGAGTAGCACTGCGCTTTGTGAATGGTCCCGTAGTCTTCTGGGACCTGTCATGTGTCCCAGAAGACTATGGGGAGGGGAGGGGAGGACAACTTCCGCTTCCGATCGCCTTAGGCGATCGCAGTGGAAGTGGGAGCGGGTACCTGTCAATTTTTTGGGTACCTGTTCCTCCAAGGTGCCAATCCTTAACGGGGAGCAGGGGACATTGCATTAGAAGCGTAACTTCCCCTTTTGGGTGGAGCTCCACTTAAAGTTTATGAATGGGCTCTGGCATTCTTCACTTGTGGATGGATCTATCCTTTCCAAAGTAACAATAAGCACCATACAAGAACCATTTCCTGAATAGCTGTTTAATAAAAAAAAGTCAATTTCCTCTGCGCTTGTTTGTTTACACTATATTTTTTGTAATCAATACATTTGTATTTTTTATTATATATCTTATATATTTTATACTGATCTTCATTTGAAAGTTTATTACTTGTTTACTACATCTTCATCTGACATGTACTAAATTGTTTTCCTTTCAAGGCATTTTTTCACTTCGCACAATATTCCAAATATGGTGAATCTTATAGTTACCCCAGAAACGGGTCTGGCTGATGAGCATGTGCATATTAAGGCATCAGGACTGCAACCCAATCAACTGGCAACCATTCGTTTAACACTTCATGATGAAAAGGGAAATGTCTTCCAGTCACGAGCTTTTTACAGAGCTGATGTAAAAGGGCAAATTAACCTGGATAGCAATGCAGCTCTTGGTGGAAACTACCAGGGAGTACATCCCATGGGACTGTTATGGTCATTGAAACCTCTTAAACCATTTCAACGACCTGTTAAAAGAGATGTGAAAGCTGGCCCATTCCTGTACACGGTGGATCTTTTTGAGTTTTTATCAGTAGGGTTAGGTGCTGAGCCACAGCCCACTTGCAGTGCTACATTTAATAGGTGGCACATAGCTGATGATGTACAAAGGACCCAGATTCATGAGGGTAGACTTCGAGGTACCATTTTTTCCCCTGCAGGTAAGTTTACATTTTTGGAGTAGTAAAGTAAATTTGCATACAGTAATATTCTTGTGAAATAGTCACGTCAATTCTTTTTTGATTTAAAATTCTAAGTGATAGAAAAGAAAAAAAATCTGTTTGGATAATTTTAAACTATATGTATTTTTTAAATTAATACATCCCATAAATGTGCAAATGTGACAAAAGACATTGTTTAGCACATCTCCTAAAACATGAAAAGCGACTCAACTTTTTATAACTTCTTGTGTGGTAATGGGACAAGAAGGATAACGGGAAAAATCTGTCTTTCTTTTTAATATATAATGTAGTGCTACCCCCATAGGGGCCGCTCGATGATGCTTGTGCCCAGTGGTTGCCCTGGCCTTGCAAGCCTCCTGACACCAGAGATATTTCAATAGTAGAGAATAATAATGAAAGAGACACAGTTCTTTAGTAACACCTCTATATTAGACTTGTTTAACAGAGTAGACCAAAGGTATAATGGGTTTAGGGTGCACAGCACCAGTTAACGCATAAAAGCAGAACACTGGTACAATAGAAATAGGCAATTAGCAGCGTTTAAAAGAGGATACAGTCATAAGAAGTGAGCTCCAACTATTTAAACGCAACACTGCAGGAAAGAGGAGGAAGAGAAGACTTGATGACTTACCAGCTCCTTCTGGGCCACCGGTGCTACAAGGGGTATGCAGAGAATTATGTAAGTGTATACTCCGGCATTAATATATATGTAGGTACCCTAGCTTGAGTAACAATGGTCTTGTTGGAATGGAAGAAAAGAAGAGGTTCCTTTTAACCAGAGATTGCAGCTTTAGTCCTATGATGTTAAAAGTTTCTGATATGGTGGAATCTGCTGTTTTCTGCTAGCAATGGTGGTGCCCATAAACATTAGTGAATATTGGTAATTCAATGAAGTTAAACAGATTGTGGTACTGCCAAAAGCAAAGGTCTCTTGGTGACTGAGGCGTAAAGGAATTCTTGAACAGGCTTTTGGTTCACCAGCTCTCTGGTATATGTAGTTCAGTCAGCACTCAGGAATACAGTATGCATTAACTATAGGACTACAGTGTCCCAAGATCATCTGCTGTAGGAGAATTGGATCCACTCTGCTAACAGGAAGTGATGTAGCTATCCCAGTTCTGGGCATTAGAGGGAAAAAGGCTTAATTATAATCCCATATGTAAGTGTCCCTGAATTGCATAGTGACATAGCCCATATTGGGCTACATTAAAATGCCCTTGTGTTATGCAGAAAGAACTGACTTAACCCAGAACCTAAAACGTAAATGACAGCAGCTTTACTGAAAAGTACACACAATAAAAAAATTGGGATACCTATGAGTTGAAACCAAACTACAATAGATATCAAACTGTGTTTTTATTGCTCCCTATAATAAAAATAGAAACAAAACTTCTACACATTAAAAAGAATAGTAAGTTCCACCATCATATAATTCTTGTAATATGTATTGGTGAGAAATCCAGATACACAATAAGAGTACCCCATCCAAATTATTGAGAATTTAAATCCATACCTCGCATCCAAATCATTTTCTTATTCTCTGCACATGTAGTTGTTCATCCCTGGAATAGCATCCACTTTTTTCAAATATTCATATGCAGCTTATGAGTAATATTTTATAGAGAAAGGAAACTAATTAATATATTAATCAAAATCCGTAGTATTTAAAGTAGTTCACCAACCATCTCTACTCTCTATGGTACACACCACATCTAGTAGAATGTTACTGATACCACATATATGTTGAACTTTTGATCCATTCATAATATCATACACATGCCTTTTTCCACTCCCCTGTATCCAAATACATCCCATCCCAGAGTTTGTGGCTATATGGTGGAATCAAGATGGTATAGTTACCCCATGGTAGGCTTGGAAATACCCCAAAAATTGCTAATGCCCCTGGCCTCAGTGTACTGCATTCCTCCATGTCTACCTGGTTTATTGGACATGAAGCGGTCCTCAGTGGTGCCCCCTGTACAGGGAACATCCCTAACCCAGACCTGCCTCAGAAGAAAGAGGAGGGTGGTTTGTGGCTATATGGCTGGAAACAAGATGAAACTGTTACTCGATGGTAGACTGGGAAAATCCCAAATGTGACCCCCCCCCCCCCCATCTTTAGGCTTGATCAGAATTGTTTTCATTTTACTGATCCAGATTTTAATCTTCACTTGGTCCTTGAGACAATAGCATTTATGGCAGATGTTTGAGTACAAGTGGCTGGTCAATGGTTATCCATCCAAATGGCAGCCGCTAGATGCGATGCATGCCATTTTTTGCCCATAAATAGAGCTGAATAGACGTCTGGTGCTGTAAGCCTGCACCCTATGCTTTGCATGAAACACGTCAGGGTAAGGGGCTACAGCATCCTGATGTCCTGCCGCCTTTGGCGGCCATCTTTACACACATGGTCAATTTTTGGTTTATTCTTTCCTTGTATGTTTTCCACCTTTGTTGGAATAAATTACCCTATTTAATGCAGTATCACGCTATGTGGCATTATTCTTGGGCTTTCTGCGAGTCTCACCATTCGCAAAAGCCAGTTTAGAAGTGTCCTGAGACCGTGATACCATTGGAGGGGCCTTTAAAGACACAGGTGCGGGAACCTGACCATACCTGGAAGTGATTGTCCTGGCTGACCTGATGAGACGATTATGATCTCAAATGCATTTTGATAGCGCACTTCTGGTGAGTGCGCAATTCACTTATCTCTTATCTTTTCATCACACCATCGATTATAAGGAACTGCATTCCTTGAATTAAGATCCGATAGAACTTGCTAGTCTACATTTTGAATTTATTCTTATTGGCTTATCTTTTAACCACTTACCTATGGTAACATACCATCGTCTGCACCTAACTTTGTGCTTATATTACAATATTGTTTGACTCATCATCCTATACACATTTATATTACAGCGCTGCACTATTTTCTGTATATAATGGTTATCCATCTGTCTGCACCGAGGGGATGTACCTGAATACAGAAGAGCAGAGAAAAACATTCATATGATTTTATGAATGGTTCAAAGATTTAACATTTACACTATATTGCCAAAAGTATTCAGACACCCCTCCAAATCATTGGATTTAGGTATTCCAATCACCTCCATGGCCAAAGGTGTATACAATCAAGCACCTAGGCATGCAGACTGCTTCTACAAACATTTGTGAAAGAATGGGTCGCTCTCAGGAGCCCAGTGAATTTAAGCGTGGTACCGTAATAGGTTGCCACCTGTGCAATAAGTCCATCCGTGAAATTTTCTTGTTACTATATATTCCACGGACAACTGTTAGTGGTATTATAATAAATTGACAGCAACAGCAACTCAGCCACAAAGTGGTAGGCCACGTAAAATGACAGAACGGGGTCAGAGCATGCTGAATGGCACAGTGCGCAGAAGTTACCAACTGTCTGCAGAGGGCGTCAGCATGCCAAGGCATTTTGGACAATTACATGCTCCCAACTTTGTGGGAACAGTTTGGGTTGGCCCCTTCCTGTTTTGAATTCTTGAAATAGCATATGTTGTTTCAGGAAACACATGTATGAACAATTACATGTGCAGATAATAAAAATATGATTAGGAAAAGAGAGAGATATTCTCAGTAGTTTAGATAGGGTATTGAAATTGTATTACAGGATATCTCCCCAATACATGTTACTACAAATTAGATGGTTAAACCTATTCTTTTTTTAAGGTTTATAAAGTTTTGTTTCTAATTTTATGTTAGTGATAATAAATAAACACATACTTTTAATCTATCCAACATCGATTTTATTTTTGATTTACAATCCTAATTGTCCATATTTTTTTCTTGTGTATACATTTCTACAATCCCCTATGTAGCAGCACTCATACTGGGAAAAGGAAGGGCAGGACTGGGATCAGATGTGCTGTGTGCAAATGTTTTGGAATGTGTTAGAAAATGAACATGCTGATATGAGAATAAAGCAGAGGTACAACTTATTCAGTAGGCTGGTGCTCTTTTTACTAGCCAGGCAGCAGGCCTGAGGTACAGAGAGAGCATCACTGTATTCCTTAACTGTAAGTGGGGTCATCCCCATTGCTGTGCTGTGTGAGGGAGTGAAGAAATACTAGTCTCTTGGCAGGTAAGATTATGTCTTTCATTTCATATGTTTTTAGTTGTTTGCATGGAGATCATGCGGGACTGCCTGGATAGGTGAGGCAACATATAGAAGAACTAATCCGTCCATTTCTCACCTTCAGAAGCTGAATGCCTGCTAGTCCCCTGTTCCCTCCTGCAGGCATTTAATGGCTGCAGGAGAGAATGGACAGAATGTTTCCTCTATATTTCGCCCAGCCCCCCTCCTATCCATCTACCTTCTGCTGCCCCCGGGCCCCTGTTCTCTTTCCTGGTCCCCCTGTGCTCTCTCACACCCCCCAAATATGTAACTTAACAGTCCCTTCCTTGTCTGATTGGACAGTCAGTGATCAGTACCGATCATTAACTTTGTCCATTCATAGCTGAGGCATAGTAAACTGGGTTTACTATACTTCAGTTTATGAATGAACAGGAAGCTCTGTACAGAGCTATTCCTGTCCATTCATTCTGTGCTGCTGAGGCTGCAGAGATAGAGACTGAGGGCTGTGTCCTCAATCTCCTTTCCCTGTCTCAAAGATGAGATGTCAGAGGTCTGTTTAGACCCTTGATATCTCACCAAAGCCCCCCATAGCTCCTAAAAAAATAGTAAAAAATAGAATTGTATAAAAAATAGATAGAATTAAATGGTAAAAAAATAATTAAAAAAATAAAATAAAAATAAAAAACTACTGACGCCAGTGGCAGAACTACCAGGGTCACAAAGGTAGCACTTGCAACTAGGCCCTGGCATTCCACCTCCGGGGTCCAAGGGAAGGCCCCCAGGTTCTGGGCTGCTTAGTCTAAAATGCCGGGCCTATTTTTTTTGTCCTAGTCCGTGTCTGACTATATCCAAACCAAACATCTGCCAGGGTTGTCAGACTGTATATGATTCATATTAGCTGGTCGAGTGGGCAAATTGAGTATTATATTGCAGTGTAAAGGATATCCATAGGGATCCATGAAGACAGGGTAAAATGTATGGATGATGTCAACTGTGTTTATGTTGGTTGGGTTTTTGTGCACTGAAGGTGTTATTTACAGGCATGAAAGCCCAACTTTATAGTTGTAGATTACATTTACAGATCTGATTACTTATATTAGTTGGTTTTATTTAAACAGGAAAGGGGGCATATCCTGGTATTATCGACATGTTTGGTGGAGGAGGTGGCCTTGCAGAATACAGAGCCAGCCTTCTTGCCAGTCGTGGATTTGTGGTTTTTGCGCTGGCATATTTTGGTTATGACGATCTTCCACGCTCATTCCAAAAACTAGAATTGGAATATTTTGAAGAAGCTACAGATCTGCTCCTCAAACATCCTAAGGTATTGTGACATTTCTTGTCAGTAGCAGTAAGTATTCAGGTAAAGAAGTGTGCCTTTATCTGCTCAATTAAAAAAAGGAATTGAACCTAGATTGAGTCTTTTCTTAGTCTTAATAAAGTATAACTAAAGCTAACATTTTTTGTTTGTTTTGGATAAAGTAGGGAAGGGTTTAAAGTTCTGTAAGTTTTTTTTTTTTTTTTTTGTGTCTTATTGAAGAGAATTCCTGTCCCAGAATCATAACAAGATGTGAGATGAAATCTCTCCAAATTGAGGGAAATTACCCACCTAATACCTAGCCTTTTCTGACACTTTTTGTTACATTTAAAAATCATAATTTTTGCTACAAAATTACTTAGAACCCACATATATATATATATATATATATATATATATACTTTCAGTGGCCACTTTAATAGGTACACCTGTTCAATTGCTTGGTAAACACAAATTGCTAATCAGCCAATCATATGGCAGCAACTCAATGCATTTAGGCATCTAGACGTGGTGAAGACAACTTACTGAAGTTCAAACTGAGGATCAGAATGGGGAAGAAAGGGTATTTAAGTGACTTTGAACGTGCCATGGTTGTTGGTGCCTGACAGGCTGGTCTGAGTATTTAAAAAACTGCTGATCTACTGAGATGTTCACGCACAACCATCTCTAGGGTTTACAGAGAATGGTCTGAAAAAGAGAAAATATCCAGTGAGTGGCAGTTGTGTGGACGAAAATGACTTGTTGATGTTAGAGATCAGAGGAGAATGGGCAGAGTAGTTTGAGATGATAGAAAGGCAATAGTAACTCATGTCAATATGGACCAAAATCCATAGGTACTTGCAAGGACCAATACATGCGTTCGCCTTTGCACATGGACGGGGCACTTTACATGTTTATTTATTTTTAACACTGTTTCTTTAAAAAAAAAAAAAATTTGATCACTTTTGTTGCTATCACAAGGAATGTAAACATCACTTGCAACAGCAATAGGCAGTGACAGGTACTCTTTATGGAGAGATCTATTATGGTCTATTAGACACCAGACCTATCCTCTGCTCTAAAAACATCTGATTACACCAACATTGATTTTATCAAATGCTTTTGAGATTTAAAAATGATCTTCCAGTCCTCCATGGGCTCTATGGTAAATCATTGGGAATTGCCTGCTTCAATTCTGAGAACTCAGGTGGGACAGAGGTTCTGAAGAGGCACCAGCGGGCAGTGGGGGGGTGGGGGGGAGGGTGTGTATCATCTCTCCAGCCTCCTGTAAAAGAAATCCAGTAGTTAATTAGATACTCAGATGGCTTTTACAAAAAAAAAGGTACTGATGCTGGCATCATCCCAGTATATGACCTGAACTGAAGTACCACGTACTTCTGTATGTGAAAAAGACCTATGCGCTAAATGCATACAAATATTACAAAAAAACAACATAAGTGAAATATATCCAAATTAAACACTGCTGCCACCATAAAATGAAATAAATCATATAAAAAATAAATGAACCCTAGGTGATGCAGTGGCGCTGTGAACAAAAATCAATATTAACCCCTTGACACTGACGTAACACAAATATGAGTCCTCACAGAACTGGGCTTTTTTCCGTGGGGCCGCATATTTGCGTACCTGTCTTGTGCTGGGAGTGCGCCGTGGTGTCACTGAGAGCTCCAGGTCCCGTTCTGACGATCAGGACCCAGGACTCTCGATTCCGGGTCACATGAACGCTGTGATAGCCTCTGATTGGCTATCACAGTAATCAGTCACTGTACAGCCCGGCCCCCTTGTTTTTTTTCTCTCTCTATGAATGGAGGAGACAGATACATTGTATCTCTCTATCCCCTGGCATAGAGAAAAAAAGGTTTGTAAAAAAAAAAAAAAAGAAGGTAATTAAATATATATATATATATATATATATATATATATATATATATGTATATAAAAACATAGATCAAGGTTTGATCTAGTTCAGTGCCAGGGTTAGTGTTTGGGTCAAGGTCAGGGTCAAAGATGAACAGCTCAGAGTCAAATGTCAGGATTTAAAAAAAAAGACAAAAACTAAATGTGCACTATTGTTTTTTGGGCTGTACTACGGGTACAAACAACAAATAACATAAACATATATGGTATCACTGCGATTGTCAAGAGCTGAAGAATTTATTTTGGGTTGTTCTTTGGTGGTAGGTTATGGTAGTAACAAGAAACACACAGCTAAATAACAAAAAAAATTTTTGGTCCAGTTTTCCTTTACATAGTTACATAGTTAGTCTGGCTGAAAAAAGACAAAGTCCATCCAGCTCAACCATAGAAAAAAAAAAAAATAGAAAAAAAAAAAAGTTATAACCCTATACCCACAGTTGATCCAGAAGGCAAAAAAACCCCCCCAGCAAAGCATGATCCAATTTGCTCCTGCTCGGAAAGAAATTCCTTCCTGATCCCCCGAGAGGCAATCGGATATTCCCTGGATCAACTTTACCTATAAATGTTAGTGTCTAGTTATAGTCTGTGTATCTAAGAAAGACTCCAGGCCTTTTTGAAGCAATCTACTGAGCTGGCCAGAACCAACTCTTGAGGGAGTCTATTTCACATTTTCACAGCTCTTACTGTGAAGAAACCATTCGGTATTTGGAGATTACATTTCTTTTCCTCCAGACGTAAAGTGTGCCCCCTTGTCTTCTGTGATGACCTCAGGGTGAATAACTCTACACCGAGTTCACTATATGAACCACTGATATATTTATACATGTTGATCATATCTCCCCTTAATCTCCTCTTCTCAAGAGAGAATAAATTCAGTTCCTCTAATCTTTCCTCATAGCTGAGCTCCTCCATGCCTCTTATCAGTTTGGTTGCCCTTCTCTGTACTTTCTCCAGTTCCCCAATGTTATTTTTGTGAATTGGTGCCCAAAACTGAACTGCATATTCCAGATGAGGTCTTACTAATGATTTGTACAGGGGTAATATGATATCTCTCTCTGGAGTCTATACCTCTTTTAATACAAGAGAGGATTTTGCTCGCTTTAGAAGCCACAGCTTGGCATTGCATGCCATTATTAAGCTTGTGATCTACCAGAACTCCCAGATCCTTCTCCACCATTGATTCCCCCAGTTGTACTCCCCCTAGTATGTATGATGCATGCATATTTTTAGTCCCCAAGTGCATAACCTTACATTTATCAACATTAAATCTCAATTTCTAAAATGTTAGTGCAGCACTAAAAAATGCATGCCATATGTTACTTGCTATTATTACCTTAAATAAAATACTACACTATAAGCACCTTTCTGGCTAATGTGGCTAAGCTAATTCCCCCCAGGACCACCAGGCCCCCACCCTGACAGATGGACGGATAACCTCGTAGCTGTCAGCATACCACTGCACCCCCAGATGTGTGATGTATTATAATCAATGCGCATTATAATTTATGGTCTGGTGAGTATACATCCGTACCAAGGGTGGATTTCCTTTTACAAGCTTTTGCACAGTTACTCTTCACGGATAACTTCACGTGCCAATCATAGGCATTTCTTCAGCTGATATATTTGCACAAGAGATGTTTTAAATTCATGAATGCTCTGATGAACTTATTTTATTGCATTTTATGTCATCTTGAACTAGTTATATAAATAATGCACTTTCAGTACTTTACTCACAAATGCGTTTAAGTCACATGCGTTTATGGAATTTATGACATGCATTTTTTAGCGCTGCACTAATATTTTAGAAATTGTGATTCTGGAACTGTTACCTATACCCTGAGTGCTAGCTGCTTTTAATTAATTTGAATATATATAATTTTAATATCATATACTGCATTTAGCGCTCGCTCTATTATCTTTTGTACAACAATAAATCTCATTTGCCTAATAGTTGCCCAATTAAACAGTGCATTGAGGTCGGCTTGTAAATTGAAGACATCCTGTAAGGACGTTATTCCACTGCACAGCTTGGTGTCGTCTGCAAAGACTGAAATGGGATTTTTAATCTCAGACACTATATCATTTATAAATATATTAAAAAGTAAGGGTCCCAACACTGAACCTTGGGGTACACCACTGACAACCCTAGACCATTCAGAGTATGAATCATTAACCACTACTCTCTGAATACGATCTTTTAGCCAGTTTTCTATCCATTTACCACGAAATGAAAGCCAAATTTATCCTGAAAAAAACAAGGTATAATTCACCTGGATGTACAAAGTAGTTGTGATGATATGTACGGTTTTACTAACACATGTCAGCGTTGCAAAATTGTTCTTAGGCATTTAGATTTGTTTTACCCTTAGGCGTGAAGGGGTTAAAGTGACTGTAACGGAACCGGACCCCGACTGCACTAGGGTATTTCCATTAGACTCCTGCTTCCCTGTCCAAACAGATCCACAGGCACCACTTGAAGTAAAAACAGGAAATAGACTGCTTTATTTTAACACACACACAAGATATAAACATTCAAGGGAACAACCCACCTCCCTGCATGTGGACACAGCACAGGACAAACCAAATCTAGCAACCAGAGACACATCAACAGACACCCCCCCCCCCCCTCACCAAGCCAATACACAAACACATACATCCCATAATAGTTTGCTCCCAAGCAAGACACATAATAGAACAATGGGATGCACCACATGGCAGTAAACAATGAACAACCCCCACACCCCACCTATACATGTCTACACAATATCAGGACATTTCACCCTGCACCCCTAACAACAGGCACAGGGTGACTTACACATAAGAGGGATATTGGGAGCTGAGACAGGGGTCTCCACATCTCTAAAGTGAGCTGTGTTCCATGGGCCACCCACCCAAAGTGACTCCCGTCACAGTGACTAATCATAAAATTTATAAAAAACTAATAAAATAAAAGTCCATGAATTCATTCCAACATGTGGTGATTTTGGTTTTGGGAAGATTATCACTTTGGAATGAATTCATGGACTTTTATCAGTTTTTTATTAATTTTATGATTTGTCACTTTAAGATTGATTGATTAAGATTGATTCAGTGCCACTGAATCACCTAGGGTTCATTTATTGTTTGCCATGTACTTCTGTTGGTCTTCAAGTAGTTACAGTAGACAGTTGTTACCAGAACAGGCGTCCCTATTGGAAGATTTCCTTTCACCTTCTCCTCCAGTGATGACTGTAAAATTTTGGATTTCCCATCACTTGTCTTTAAAGACAAGAAATAATGTGACAGAGGTTTTAATACTTTCTCAGTCTGTTCAAAACAAAAATATTTAGAATTGTGCAAAATATTAATGATTCACCATTTCCTTGTATTATGCTGTTTATTTTCTATAAAACTCTTAGATATTGGAATAAAAGTGCTGACTGCTTATCTGGACTTAAAGCAGTATTAAACCCAAAACCAAACATTTTATATATTGTAGCTTACCAATCATTAAATGTGGTAGCTGTATTAGTTTTCTTTTTCCCTCTGTTCTCACCTGGTGGTCTAGCAAGTAACACACCTCCACTCTGGATGAAGGAGCATAGAGAACACCTTTGGACAACAGCATTGTTAATCTGGGGGAAGGGATTATTAGATGTACTATCATATTTAGATACACTAACAAATTGAAGCCAAACTCCAGCTAATAGCTAGCAGTTACAACAAACACTTTTTTCCTTTTGGGATTAGTAAAAGATGATCATTATAAGCACCCTGTCAGTGTTACATTGTTTGTCCCAACCCTGTAACTGCTACATCTGCATGACAGCTTTTTCTGTTGAAAAACAACAGATTTACAGGCCAGATCATCAGCCAATAAAAAGACTAATTGCAGCAGTCACCTTTAAGAATTGGTAAGCTGCAATATACTGCATATTTGCTTTTGGGTTTAATACCACTGTAAAGGAGTAGGTCCAAAACTCTTTTGGCCCTACTTCTTCTGTGGGTCACAGGAGTGTATTTATTTCTGCACTCCTGTGACCCAGATTCAGCCAACAGGAGGATGGACAGCACAGTGGCTAAGTGATTAGCCCTGCTGTCTAGCAGCACTAGGGCCATTGGTTCAAATTCCAACCACGGCACTACCCGCCTGGAGTTTGTATGTTCTCCCTGCACCTGCATTGGTTTTCTCTAAGAACTCTGGTTTCCTCCTACACTCCAAAGATAAGGTGGTAGGTTAATTGGCTCCTGTCTAAATTGGCCCTAGTATGTATATGAATGTGAGTTAGAGACCTTAGATTGTAAGCTCCTTGAGGACAGGGACTGATGTAAATGTACAATATACACTATATTGCCAAAAGTATTGGGACATCCCTCCAAATCATTGGATCAGGTGTTCCAATCACCTCCATGACCACAGGTGTATAAAATCAAGAAACAAGGCATACAGACTGCTTCTACAAACATTTGTGAAAGAATGGGTCGCTCTCAGGAGCTCAGTGAATTCAAGCGTGGTACAGTGGTAGATTGCCACCTGTGCAATAAGTCCATCCGTGAAATTTCCTTGCTACTAAATATTCCACGGTCAACTGGTAGCGGTATTATAACAAAATGGAAGCAACTGGGAGCAACAGCAACTCAGCCACGAAGTGGTAGGCCACGTAAAATGACAGAGCAGGGTCAGCGCATGCTAAAGTGCACAGTGAGCAGAAGTCTCCAACTGTCTGCAGAGTCAATAGCTAAAGACCTCCAAATTTCCTGTGGTCTTCAGATTAGCACAACAACAGTGCACAGAGAACTTCATGGAATGGGTTGGCCGAGCAGCTGCATCCAAGCCTTACATCGCCAAGTGCACTGCAAAGCATCGGATGCAGTGGGTGTAAAGCACGCCGCCACTGGACTCTTGAGCAGTGGAGACATGTTCTCTGGAGTGACAAATCACGCTTCTCTGTCTGGCAATCAGATGGATATGCCTGGGTTTGGCAGTTGCCAGGAGAATGGTACTTGCCTGACTGCATTGTGCCAAGTGTAAAGTTTGGTGGAGGGGAGATTATGGTGTGGGGTTGTTTTTCAGGGGTTGGGCTTGGCCTCTTAGTTCCAGTGAAGGGAACACTTAAGGCGTCAGCATACCAAGATATTTTGGACAATTTCATGCTCCCACCTTTGTAGGAACAGTTTGGGGATGGCCCCTTCCTGTTCCAACATGACTGCGCACCAGTGCAGAAAGCAAGCTCCATAAAGACATGAGTGAGTTTGAGGTGGAGAAACTTGACTGGCCTGCACACACCTGACCTCAACCCAACAGAATACCTTTGGGATAAATTAGAGAGGAGACTGCGAGCCAGGCCTCCTCATCTGACATCAGTGCCTGACCTCACAAATGCGCTTCAGGAAGACCGGTCAAACATTCCCATAGACACACTCCTAAAACCTTGTGGACAACCTTCCCAGAGGAGTTGAAGCTGTAATAGCTGCAAAGGGTGGGCCAACTCAACATTAAACCCTACGGACTAAGACTGGGATGCCATTAAAGTTCATGTGCGTGTAAAGGCAGGCGTTCCAATACATTTGGCAATATAGTGTATACTTAAAGTTATGTGTAAATTGACGGCGCTTTATAAGTACCTGTAATAAATAAATAGCATCCACTGTTTATTGATGTCACTCAGCCTGTCCAGACTTTAATGTCAGGATCCACCTAGATGCCTGACCAGTAACTGGCTCAGTCTCTCAGTGCAGTGTTGAGAGCCTCAGCCAGCTGCTCTTTCCCCCTGCACAGCCCAATGTTCCAGTGAGTGCTTGAGGGGCAGAGCAGAGAGCCAGTGACTGACAATCACAGCTCTCTGCTTACTGAAGACCAAGAACTGAGTGTTCAGCAGTCTTTGGTCAATCAGTTCTTGGTGTTGGAGGAGGATATTTAATATCCAATACCTCTCTTTTAAAAATACAAAACTAAAGCAACCTGCACATTTGTGTACAAAATAAACTCTTGGGACTTGGTCATGCAGGGTTTATGCTCTTATAGTACTGCAGATAGTGAACATATTGTGCTATGTGGCACTTACATTGCCCTGACTGTTATCTTACATAAATCAAAAATACATTTACAATATGATGGTATGAATGATGCTATTATATACTGAAAGGTATTTTTTGTCTTCAATGCCACATATAAAACTATAATTTGTTCTCCATATTTTCTACTCCATTGAAACAGACTTTTTAAACATTTTTACTTTTCAGGTTGCTGGACCTAAACTCGGAGTTCTGGGTGTCTCAAAGGGTGCAGAGATTGCCCTTTTGCTGGCTTCATATTTACCACAAATTGGAGCTACGGTCAGCATTAATGGCACCTCTAATGTATATGGTAGCACAATTTACCATAAAGGTAAGGTGCTCATTAAAGGAACACCCTACAAATCAGAGAAGACAATGATCACTAAAGAAGGATTTATGAGCACTGTTGGATTATATGAGCCACACGCTAGTTCACTCATTCCAGTAGAAAGAGCCTCTGGACACATACTTTTCTTAGCTGGCGCCGCTGATCAGTATTACAACAGTCAACAGTTTGCACAATTCTCAATCTATAAATTGATGAGAAATGAGAAAACTAAAAGCAGGATGATAACTTATCCAGCAGCTGGCCATTTGATTGAACCCCCAGGATTTCCTTTTTCCTATGCCTCACATCTTCGTGGACAAAACCTGCCTCTGTTGTATGGTGGAGAGATGATCCCTCACTGCCAAGCAGAGGAAGCGATTTGGAAAGAAATTCATGTTTTCTTTCGGCAGCACTTGCTGCTGTCTAGCAATCTGTGACATATTGAGTCTCAGAATATGGGCATTTGTTAGCTTTCAGGTTGGAAGAATGACAGAATCAAAAAGCGTTTGTCAGGCATTTACCATGCTGAGTTGCTTTCTTGAAGCTAGCTCCAACAACACACTGTCACTCTAGTTTCCAATCACATGATCAGCTGTTGTGCTGAGAGAGAAAACTATCAAGTTAACTAATGCATATTAATGCTGTTAAATTTGCCAGGGCATCTAGATTTTAATGACTTCCACCAAAAAAGGGTTAGCGGAAACCTGCAATGACAGAAATGGCAGGGCTGCTATTGCTGACCTACTTCTGAAAATGCTGATTGGCTGGTAAGTAACCTGGAAGAAGTATGAAACAAGTAAAGTCATGACTCCCGAACAGCAAACTAATCCTAGATCAGTTACTCAGAAGACTTACTAGATCATGATCAGAGAATCTTTAATTTCAGCAGTCCAGCAGTGGCAGCTGTCATATTTATCAAATCAAATTCTTCCTTTAAACAAGCTTTTACCAATCTTCAGCTAGCTTGAAAAATTGCTGAGGAAGGTAAGTCTGAAGAAAGCTCGTTTAAAGCTACAGTCAGTGCTTCCATTAAGATATGTATTTAGCTTCCAAAAAATAGAGGCCTTATTGCTGTAAGGCAGCTGTCCAAAGTGTGTTAAATGCTTTCTGAAAATTGTTTTGTTTAAAAAAACCTGATGTTAATGATAAGTTTATTGTCATGACTAATTAAAGGAGAATTGTAAGTGATTTTTTTAAACAATTAATTGCAGATAATGTACCTAGTAACCTATTGTTATGCAAAATGAAAAGTGTATAAAATAACATTATGGAAATGCATTAAGAAACAAAATAAAGTGTAATAAACTGTGACTAAAACGTGCATTGATGCATAAAGAGAATACAGTCATATAAAGCTGAACTCCTGGCAGAAATAAACATATTATGTATTGTATATAAAACTCCTGTATAGTTTCATGATTTTATTCACCCTAGTATCAGAATTCATATAACATACTGCCATTTTCACAGTATATGAAAATAAAAACACATCTATGCAGATGTAAACATTTCCTAGATGTTCAGAGACACTAAAATATAAAACATTATAAGGTTTTAATTTGGCCATTATGGGGTTATCCCACCATGTTTGCTATAAAAGGAGGATACCGTTTCTGCTCAAACCATCTTGTGAAAGAAGTCGGTAAAGATGAAACATGCTGGGATGTGGATGGGTGAGTGAATTTACTGACTCACTGTACATACAGTGGTCATGTAAATTATGTCATATGTGATATGCTGAGTTTCTAGAATTTGTCTGGTGATCATCATTTTTTTGTGTACATAGTGTAACATACACATTAAAACATTTAAACATTAAAGTGGAAAGAAGACACAGGAGTGGACTTTGTGTTTACAAAATTACTTCAATGTTTCTTGGGACTGAATGCACTGGACTCTTATTCTTTGTTCAAAAACATTTTTTTCACTTTGAACACAGTGGACTTTATCATATGTACAGTGTACACATTTTATTTTACTTTGAATTTTTTCACTATCTGAAGCATGGAGAAGGGGGTATATATATTATTATAAAAACGGTATAAGCTTCCTTTGCTAAAAAAAAGAAAACTACAAAGTCTCTAACCACTTGAACACGCAATATCCCCCTGGATATTATACAATGAAATGAAAAAGTGCAATGCTAAAACATAAAACCTCCAAATAGGTGTGAATCATACACCAAAAAATAAATGCATACTATACAAGTGTGGTGTGAAAACCATATTGCTGTGAAAAATATATGTCCATGACTTTGAACAAACTTGATAATAGTTCTTCTTTCACTATAGTGCATCACCCCCTATAATACACTCAGGAAAAGCCATGTAGTGATAATCTCCATGGAGTTCTAACAAAAATTGTCTTTTAATATTCTTTTTTCTTCTTTCATACTTGTGTGCACCTCTTTTTCAGTGCTTTTCATACCACCCCGTGTGCAAAAATAGTCATTGGTTTTTTGGACCCCTTTTTAAGTGGGTCTAAAAGCACTCTCTTCAACTCCTTTTCTTCCTCAATCAGATTGTATGTCTGCCACTTGTTGCAGCAAAAATACACATAGATCACACTCTTCCACCTCCTATTTTCTAGCAAATTACCACCATAAATAGACAGGGAAGGACATTCCTGATGACAGTGTTTGACTGACAAAATGCATTGGACAAGGTTTGGCTTCCACTACGTCACTTCCACTACATCATTTATGATGTTTGGAACACAAGTCTGCATTCCACAGTAGTCTAGGAAGGGAAGGAGTCTAGGAAGGGAAATTAGAATTTTTGGTTTACTAGTAAAATCCTTTTCTTGGAGTACATCACAGGACACAGAGGACTTCCCATATCAATGACTACTTGGGTTATGCTGCCATCTTTGGGTTAATGGAAACTGGTTAAAAAGGCAGGAATTTCCCACCCAGGCCTAGTCCATCTAAACTGTTGCAGGGCAAACTGCAGGCGGTTGTCCCTAGCTGATTGAGGGCTTTGTAAGCTCACTCCACTATCTTTCCCCCCCACCTCTCTGACACCATAAACCATGTAGTACTTTGAATATGAAGTCCTCTGTGTTCTGTAATTTACGATTGGTAAAACCTGGCACCACTCACTCAGAAAAGTTCAAACTCAGGCAACTTTTTTGTTTGATGGCATCACTTCTGGTTGACACATTTAGTTATATGACTTCCTCAGGATGTGAATATCAACCAGAAGAGATGTCATTATGGAAGGATAGGAAGTGGTGTCATCATACAAGTAAAAATCTGGAAGTGCTGTTTTTTTATATAGATTTTAAAGAGGAAAAGCTTTTTTTTTCTTGTGGGTTCTAGCTCTAGAATAAATGTTATTTTGAGCAATTACTAGACATTTGATGTTAGTTTTATTCCGAATCTATATTCAGACAAAATTTTGTTTACATTCTGCTGTTAGCGGGGAATCCGGCTGACAGCAGTTGAGTCATAGTTGCCAAGGATGCGGCGGCTGCCTGGCCGCCTGCTCCTTACCAACCAGCTTACCTTCACAAAGAATTCACATCGATATTTTCAATTCTATTTAGAAAACTAAATTAAATTAATTTTGTTATGAATGCAACAAAACTAAATTAGTAACTTAATCGATCTTTAACAAAACTATTTATTTCATCCTGCACTTGTCTAGCAATTACCTGGCTGCAAATTGGAAACAAGGTAGATTAAGTGGAAGACCTAATTCTGGTTTGGTCCAAAAGTGGGACAAATGGATGGTGGTGGGATGATTCCCAAGCACGCTCTGGTGACCTACTTTGATTAAAAAGAAGTCAGTAAATTCCATTGATCCTTTATATATGCTATTGCTGGTGTCAAGATCCACTAATTTTGAAAGCATTTTTTTTCACTTTGTAGGTCAAAATTTGTTGGTGAGCCTTTTATATATATGTTTTTATATATATTATTGGTGACCAGTTTAACGACATGATACTCTTGAATGTGCTTGTGACTCACTTTATTATTGAAGGGGGTCCATTACTTTTGTTAAGCCTTACATACTGTTGGTAGCTGGTTTAGAGGAATGTGGTTTTGATTTACTTAGTGGTTAATCTACGCCAGGGGCGGACTGACAACTCATGGGGCCCCCGGGCAATAAGGGATCATGGGGTCCCTGTGTCCTTGCCCAAACTCAAAAAAGCCTATGAAAAAGGTACCAGGGGCATCTCATGGGGCCCCCTACTGACCCCGGGCCCTCGGGCAGTGCCCGAGTTTCCAAATGGTCAGTTCGCCCCTGATCTACACCATAAGAGTTTGTTTTGTTTGAGTATATCTTGGAATCTGCCCGGGGCGGACTGACCATTTGAGCACTGTGACTCGGTCAGTCTGTCCCCTGGATTTTCCCACAGTTTATATGCAAAAAGAAGATTTAGACAAGCCCTGAGGAGTTAGTGAGCCATGGAATCCATGTCTGCAATTCATGCAGAAATCGGAGAGGATTAATGCTGGCCGGGATCAGAGAGCAATGGTGGATGGGGCAGTGGCAGGCGCTTCGGCCACCTTTATTCCTGGGGGATTCAGTGGCGGGTTCACATCCCTGCCACGGGAGCTAAACTTGGAGAGCTGGAGGTGGTGGGCAGTGCACTGGAGAGCCACCGAAGAGCTGGCAAACTGCTTTGTGTGCAGCAGGTCAGTGTGTAATGCCCAGCCCAGGTCAGTGTGTAATGCCCAGCCCAGGTCAGCACTGCAGCTAGTCAGGCTGAGTGTTCTGTCCTGCCCAGTGTTTCCCGTTATAGCGAGTGTAGCCGAGATTCCCCCTCCCCCGGCCGGGGACAGGCACAGCTGTGGACTGCATGTGCTGGAGCCTGCTGCTTCCCCCTTCTTCGGGAGTGTCAGGACCTGAGTGGCTCTCTGTGTTCCCCAGCCTGTCAGACGTGAGTAGCACACAGCAGAGGGAAGTGTTCTAGTTGTGTGCTTCAGGTCTGATAGGCGGAGCCTGCTGCACTGCTGTGAAGCTTCTGTAAACAGGTGAGAGAAAACTGGAGAGAAGGGGGGGTCGTTTGTGCAGAGAGTGAGCTGTAGTGAGGTTGGGGGTCTAGTGCAGAGGTGCCAGCAGAGGGGGGGGGATGGTTGTGAAGAAGAGGGTGAATTTGTGAAGAGGTGAGAGCACTGAATGGGGGAGGGGGAATTTGTGCAGAGGTGAGAGCACTGAATGGGGGAGGGGGAATTTGTGCTGAGGTGAGAGCACTGAATGGGGGAGGGGGAATTTGCGAAGAGGTGAGAGCACTGAATGGGGGAGGGGGAATTTGCGAAGAGGTGAGAGCACTGAATGGGGGAGGGGGAATTTGTGAAGAGGTGAGAGCACTGATTTTATTCTGTGCCTTGTGTGACACAAACACCTCAGCACTGCACAGTGCATACTCCTGAGTACAATGTGTTATGCAATACTGAATGTGGTACTCTGTACCTCTTGTGCAATGTGTA